TAAAAGCAAAAAATTGCTGCAAATCAGAAACCATGTACGTGCGTATACATTGAGAAAAAAACGGTAGAAAAAAAATCGTGTAAAGCCAAAATTGCACTCGTTATTGCTTCCGGTTATCTGTTCCATAGGGAAAAAAACTACTTACAAAATTAAACCAAAAGCGCTGATCTCCAGACAAGAACCCTGATACACGGACGCACATAAATCATAACTCGACTCACGCGGACATCAAAGGAAAAAAAACATGGTACGTATATAAATTGTACTCGACTTCCACTGTCTACGCACCAAGTTAGATAGAGGGAGGTGTCATGTTCCGGATCAACTGATCGGACACAAAATACAATCCAAGATCGGTCACAATTGAAGATGTTGAGTTTTATTATTGTGGAAGTAAATTGGGTCCTCTAGGCCGTACGGTTCCATTGCCAATCTTTTTCTTTTCTTTTTTTCCCTCTTTGTACCTTCTGTTTTTCATGTATTTTCTATACTTTGTTGATCTTTTAATAAACTCTTACCCCTCCAGTTTCTTTGGAATTGGATCCCTATTCATGTTACTTGGGATCAATGGATGGGCTGAAATTTATAGATATAGATTTGGAATTCTTCTTCTATTCGATTTAGAGCCGCGTAGATTCATAGTTTCCTTCTCACCTTTTCCGTTCTTGTTTTTTTTGGTCGTGTGGGGTGGACAAAGGCGACCAGGACTCCACAAGACAGACGGCGTGCTGTGTTCGAGTCCTAGTCCAGATACAATTTGTTTTTTTTTTTTTTTTGCATGGATGTTCCACATCCGCTACTATAGCTACTATAAAAACACGTACAATTAGTTAGGGAGGTCAGACCAAAATAATGGTACCAAAAAAAGAAAAAAAATTGCCTCTTTATTATTAGGGAGGGATAGAAGATATACAAGCATTTTGGGTCAAAGCTCAGCAGACCGTACAAACCTTCAAGAAAAGAAAACTCAACAAAAGAGAGAATGAAAAAAGAGAAAAAGATTGTGGTAAGGTCATGGTACTCTATATTTTGAAGGAACTGGGCTGGGAAGATATTAAGCTTACAGCCTATTTCTCAGAGCAATATAGGCCCATTTGGCACGAGATGTGTGGAGTTTTGGACAGGCCCTAATATTTGTACTTCTACAAAAGCTCTACAGCGACCCAGTCGTGCTAGCCTAGACCGCCAGCGCGTGGCCTAGTGATGATGGGCCAGCCGGGCTTGCTTTTATCTTCACGTGGGCTTTTAGGCAGAGGTATCTTGATTTTCTTAGATAACTTTTTTTTGAATTTCTCAAAAAAATGATAACTTTTTTTGATCAAAATTTTCTTAGAGAACTTGGAAAAATAAGAAAAAATGGGGCACATGTGGCTGACAAACCAGTAAAAGAAGTAGATAGCACACGAAACCTAACGGAACTTTTTGTACGTGCATTGCAAACAACGGGATTGGATTCTACAAGTTACACATCGACCATGCAACTGATTAGGATCTCAATTAAAAGCAACGGCAGATAAACAAAGTAGTTGTGCAAGAAACAATTCGAGGAAAAACAAAACAAAGCGATTGAAAATTGACCAAATAACCTATGTTTGAAATTATAGTTTACTTTGGCGTTGTCTAAAGTCAAGCTTCTCTAAAATTATTAAAGTTTTTTTAAAAATATATATATAACAAATGCTCAATCAAAACATATTTCATATAGAATTTAATAAAATTAATTTGATGTTATAAATATTGGTGTATTTTATATAAATTTAATCTAAACTAAAAAGTTCAACTTAGAATAAAGCTAAAATAAACTAGTAGATTTAGAGAGGAGGGAGCACGAGGACTCGTTCGTCAGGCACGAAAGTGAGTGTTCGCTCCTTGATTCCATCCAGGCATCAATGTAGTCCACAGGGCATGGAAGTTACTCTTTCCTTAGGGTGTCCCGAACAGGTGCCAAATAGCTAGCGAAACACGAATTTTATTGGCTGTGAAAGAGAGAGGTGAACGCGCTAGCGAGTGCAGACTAGATAGTCTCGCACATCTCCCAAGAATCAGTCTCTCATAGCTCACACGTCTTTTAGCTCTAGTGCTCTTTTTTTTATTGTTTCCAGACCTCAAGTCGCCGGCGATTTGTTGCTTACCATTGAGGATGCCTTTATAGGCACGTAAGGCACGAAATCATACCGGTATCCTAAAATAAGTTTTGTATTGGCACAAACATGATGCATGATATGCTTGCCTCTCTTCATGTTGTGTCATCCTAATCACGTCTCCTGGGAATATCTTTGTTTGTTTGTTTGTTTCTCATATTACAAAAATAATGTTTCACATGTATTATTCTTATTAAAAGTTTTGACTCTTTTCGGAATCTATTCAAGAACAAGAATGAGAAAAGATTGACAATGTATTGTATTGTAGAATTGTCGATGGGACGATGGCTTAGGTTTCGTTTTCGTACCGTACCGATCTAAACACAATTCAAAATCCAGGTCATCCATGGTATTGAGATCCTATACACAATATGACGTCGTGTTTATACCGTTTGTTCGGAACGCATACCGTACCACGTAAAAGATTATGCTATTGGCTCTGTTCACTTGGCTTATCAGCCGTACTTTTTCAACGAAATAACAGTGTTTTTCTCTCACAATAAATCAACGAACAATACTTTTCAATTTAGCTTTTCAGCAAAACGAACAGGACCAATTGTTCGTCCCCATTTGATCAGCCGCTCGGGGACACGATCCCTTGTAGAATCTAGGCCGCGGAGACTAGAGGCGCTCTGCCTGCCCCCCCGCTTGCCTTCGAGGACGACGTCAAATGGCGGGTCGGTCCAAGTGTCGTCGAGGTGCCGCACGCCGGATGTTTCGTACTACACCGCATCGCCATGACGGAGGGGAACCTGAATCGGCGCAAGGGCCGGAGGCCGGTGCCCATCAGGCGCAACAGCCCATGCCGTCCCTGTCTAGGCCGGGGCACCAACACCCAACTACCACAAGACAAAACCTTACCCAGAGCAGTGGCCGGACCACGTCCGTACGCGCGCGCCATGCTCTCCGGACTCCAGTCCCTCCCGCTCGGCGGCTTGGGCTTGGGCAGTTGGCCGGCGAATCCGTCCAATCGCGCGGCGCTGCCGGTGGTGTTCGGCGACCCCACGCGCGTGCTCGCCTCATACAGTATTTGCGGAGACGGCGCGGCGTGACGACGCGCGGGGGCACGTTCCCTCCCGCGGCGCGCGCGAGGAATGGAGGCCCGGTCGGGTCGGGTCCCAGGCGATGCGAGAATATGCGACGTCGCAACGCTCGGCTGCCCGGTCCTTCCGTTCAGGTGTGAATGCCCCAATCGGGTCTGAGACACGGCAGGCAGGCACGCGCAACGCACGTCAGGGCTCCGTGTGCCTGACGAGTGACGACCGGCGGGCGGCGCGGCGGGGGCTGGGCTGGCTACCCACATACAATACGCTACCCACATACAATACAAACATACGGCCCCATTCGGCTTGCTGAATCTTGGCTGAAAAATACTGTTCTAACTAAAATATTGTGAGAGAAAAATACTATTCTGATTAAAAAAAGAAGTCGAATAAATCGGATATGAGGTAAGCCGAACGAGGACTATATATATATATATATATATATATATATATATATATATATATATATATATATATATATATATATATATATATATATATATATATATATATATATGAACGGTTCGGTGCGCTGCGGATAAAAAGGAGCTGCTTGCTTGCTTGCTTTGTCTGTCCCACTGAGAAAAGGAAAAAAAAATTGTTCTCGGATAATTAACCTCAGGCCGGCCGTGAGGTAGGCGGTCTTTGTTTGTTTCAGTACTGCGTGTACCGTGTACGTGATCATCAACAAAACTTGGAGAGCGCAGATGGAGCTGCCTTGCACAATAATGGGTTGCGCGCCACATCATTCCTGTACAGTCGCCTGACGTACTTCTACCACGGCCTGTCTTCCGTTACAAAGCTCCTGTTTCTTGGGTATAAAAACCTATATGTGCAGACATGGAGCGGTATCTCCTAGCCGGTGGTGGAGCCAGGGACTATGTATAAGAGGGGCTGATCCAAGAATTTCAAAATATGATAATTGAGTGTAGCTTATTTGTCTAGATTTTTGTCCTAGGGTTAGGGTCCTATTTTTCTGTATTTATTCTAGTATTTGACGATTTAACCTTGCTCGTTGTTCTTTACGTAGTAGACGACAGTGTCTATCGACAGTTCGGCGCATGTGATGAATCATAAATATTGAAATCTACCGGCTTAGTATTTTGGAAGTGCTCATACCCATGGTAGGTAACCGTGTCTGTTGGCAACAGGATACATGTGATTACTCATGAATCTTGAAATCTAGCTGCTTAGTATTTCGAAAGTGCTCATAGTGGAGTAGAATGTGTGTTTGATCATAGAAGCATGTGTACGTGCACGTATGTAAGCGTCTATATTTATACTGTGATTCGCAGTAAAAAGGATGGTCATTGAATATGGTAGGGAAATAAATACAAATTCAATAAAATTTGAAGTATAAGTATTTTAGTAAAACCAAAAAGTTTAATAGATATATCCTAATATAGTAGGGAAACAAATTTAAATAAATCATATATTTTGTTCTAACTATATTGTGTGTGATTTTGCCGTCTAAGAGATATCAATAAACATTATAACAAGATTTTCTTTATTATACACTTTTAATATAAACAGACTACTTACTATATATATTAGTATATATATATATATAATGGTATTGTTATGGGGGGCATGGCTCCGCCAGTGCTCCTAGCCCACTTCTACCACGGTCTGCATTATTGGCTTCTGATTCGTTCCGGAGCTGATTGTTTAGCTTTAGCTCGTTTGTAAAGCACCATGGCCTGCGCCCCCTCCCCCAGCATTGGGGGTACCACGAACGTTGCGAGGTGGCCCCAAAAGGCGCCCGGTCCTCCACGGCCTATCAGCACCAGAAACAGAATAGCGTCCACGCACAGCGATGAGGAGGGGAGCCGCAGACCACACTATCACGAACCTGAGCCTCGCGACGAGCATCTTGCCGAACTGGAACTCCAACGCTGCCAGCAGCAGTAGCAGCACAATGCATGTGACGAGCCCCGAGAGAGCAGCAACGATCCGGCCGACGTCGACCTCTGCCTCCGTGGTCGTCAAGCCCGCTACGTGGCATCCCAAGGTGGATCACTGCACTCTGCTGTCGCACTCTTGGTATGCTGCTGCTGTAGTACACTGGAATTGTCTGCTGCAGTTCTACCACGCTGTACAAAGGGTTGTGCTGCTCTTCCAATTTATAGGACAATGGCGCGAGATGTACACAGCACCGAACTGATTCCATCCGGGGGCTCGGGGCAGACACTACAGATCTACTACTATGCTAATTTGCCGTTTTTGGACCAAATCTTGTGAATCTTTAGGCCAATCACTCGAGTAGGACAGACCTCTGCGAAGAACATGAGGCACGGCGAGGGGCAGATCCAGGAAGAGGAGCAACGATCGAGTGAAGCAATGGAGGTACGTGCATAACCTCGGCCAGTCCTACTCCGTGCTGCTCACCGCCGACCAGCCGGGCTTCGACTACGCCATCGTCGTCTCCACGCGCTTCACCGTCCACCAACTCACTCTCCGCTTTGTGCATGCTCAACGAGCTGCTCGTGACGCTCACGTCGCACGTGCTCGCCACCGCCGCCGGGAAGGACTCCATCGACCTCGGCGTCAATCCTGCTTCCGTCCGCGGCGTCCTCATGTTATCTCCTCTGTGATGTGAAGTGCTCGCCATCAGGCGTTTTCATTTATCATCAGGCAACTCTGCGATGGTGAGCACTTTCGCTGCACACCAAGTGTTTGGCTAAATGCTTCAGTCAACTGCAGTGAACCAACCATGGGATCCTCCTCGGATTTGGCTCCTCATTTGGATTTCAATCTTGGTCTGGAATTCCAAGATGAGGTTCGACGGAGCTACAAGTCTCCGGTACATCATCCTTATCCCACTCCCAATGGCTCGTTCTTCCTTCTGGTCACATTCCGCCGTTTCCTGTTCCGCCTGACTGAGGATACGGTTGCTCTGGCACTGCAATCCTGTTTGGGTGGCAAAGCTCTGGACTTTCATGTTCAATTCCTAAGCAACAATCATTTTCGGTTCTCGGTGTTCTCGAAAGATGTTGGCTTCTTTGTTTACAAACTCTGCAGAGTCATTACCAACATGTTTGATATCTATTTTCATCTTTGGAACAATGGCACACCCCACTGGGAACGTGAGAAGCATGCTTGGGAGATCGAGCAAGAAAAAGAATGGACAAAGGTCCTGTCGCGCAGTTCAAAAAAGGCTGCTGCTAAGGCTTCAAAATCCCAAAAGAAGTTAGTTTTGCTAAACAGATGGTCCAGCAGTCCTCTCCCAAATGCTCTCCTCCACGGCATCTCAAGTTTGGAGCCTTTACAGTGAAAGTTTCATGCAACGTCTCTGAACCTTCTGATCGTCTGGTTTTTGGGAATGCCAAGTTGAATTTTCATGCAGATCATGATCATGTTCATCGGTATTCAGATCTTGAACAGCCACGGGACATGCAGCGGCAGGGAGACATCACATATTTTGAGCAGTCACGGGACATGCAACGGCAGGGAGACATCCCCGCTGCAGGCAATGCTGACCATTCAAAACTCAAGATCGTCTCTGGACCTTGTACTCGATGCATGAACATGGGCCACACTCGCCCGAACTGTCCTGGTATGCTCCGGTGTTGGGCCTGCCACAATTTTGGCCACATCAAAAAAATATGCTTATCCCGTAGCAGAGTCAATCTCATTTGGCGACCGAAACCTCCGAGAGACAAAGACCTCCAGCTCGACCTTGACTTTCAAGCTGATTTCCCGGACCACTCGGCTTCTATTTTCTCAGGATAGAAACAAGCTATTGATGATTTACATCTGCCCTCATCGCCACATTTTTAGCGTGGTGAGGTCCTCGACATCTGTCCTGAGGATGTTTTGGGAAACAATGCTACAAATGATGGAAGCTCATCTCCAAGTGATGCCAGCTCAACTCAGATGGAGGATCATGCTCGCTTTGTTGCTTCACAGACCCGTTGTGCAAATATGCTCATGCTCCACAAAAATGGCCTCCCGAGTGATACTGAACTGAGACAGAGGGCAGCAGATATGCTTTATAACTCAAATGCAGTACCTCCGAGGTTCACCCTTAGGGGTATTTTTGTAGATGGGGCAAGCAGCTCGAGAAGCCAACAGCAGATGCACAGGCCTATCACCATTGACACCTCTAGATTTGCACATCCTGTTGAAAATGAAGATGCAACCAGATTAGGTGGTCAGAACAGAAGGGTGAACCATCCTCCACCTGAAGCATCTGGTGTGGCAGTTGTAGTATGGCGCCCTGCTCCTGCTGTGGAACTGTTGAGAGCTTTTCCCTATTTCATGGAGTGTCGGTGTATTGCACTGGCCCTTGCAGCATCCAAGATTGGTCCTCCACTGACCATTGATGCTATGGGGATTGTACATGAGGAGGTGGATCTGCAAATTTGGGTTCAGAACTCTATCCCTGCCAGCCCTGTTATGCTTGAGGATGAGTTACCCGAGAGTTCAGCTCCTGTCATCCCTGATCTCACCCCGACTGGTACACTCTTCTTGTGCGCTTCTGGCCCATCTAATCTTGAAATTCAAATTGAGGGAATCAGGCCTGGTCCAGAAAGCAGCATGGGCCGGGCTGATGGCAACCAAGCTCCTCAGAAACGCAAGGATATGCTCCTCCCAAATCTTGTTTCCATCTCTGATCCACGCACGCCTCTAACCCAAACATTTGTGCGTCGCAGCACTCGCCTCTCGTCCGACAAGGAGGGTTTCCGCCCGGTCAGAATCGATAAAGAGCCCTCTAAGCGGAGCAAGAATTGGGTGGTAGAAGTCGATGAAGTCAAAGGGGAGATAAAACCCATCTCAACTTCTTTTCTCAGAGGATGGGGTATACAATGTGGTGTTGACCCTAGCGGTCTCGACGATGACGATCTTATTTATTACAGGCGCCTCCTCCATTTGTTCCCGATGAAGATGACAAAGAACAGTAAAGAAGGGAAGAAGCGGATGGAGAGCACTGGAGCTTCTATGGGCCAGAAGATCGTTTTTGTTTCCAACCAAGTCCATTATCCTATCGTGCTATCGATGTGCCTGTGTTGGAACAGCCTATATTTTGTGTTGGTTTCGGTTAAAGCTGATCACAATGCTCATGTTCGCTATGATTCATATCTATCATGTGCTGATGATCCTAGTGACATCAGTGAGAGCTGCCCCCATAAATTTGTTATCAATGAATACACGTGATTGGAGCATTCTTTGCTGGAACATTCGGGGCATAAATCGATCAGATAAATGGGATGCATTGTGAAATAAAATAGAAGAGAGTTCTTGTTCTATCATCTGTCTACAAGAAACAAAGTTTATGTGTTTTGATATGCAATTACATCCAAAAATTTGCACCGAGAAGGTTTGATAATTTTGATTATATTCCTTCACTTGGAGCATCGGAGAGGTTTACTTGTCTTTGTGGAACAGACTCTATTTTTTCTGGTAACATGTTAGAAAAAAGGCAATATGGCATCACAAAGGTCTGCAGTTTCATGCCCGCCCACACTAATGAAGTTTGGAAACTAACTACAGTCTATGGTCCTTGTGATGAACAAGCTAGATCGAGTTCATTGAGTGGTTTCAAATCAGGACATAGAGGACGAAGAAAACTGGATTTTTCTCGGGAGATTTCAATTTCTATCGGTCACTTAGCAACAGGAGCAGGATCGGGGGGATCTCAATGACACCTTCATATTCAATGACGCAATTGGTCACTTGGGCCTGGTGGAGTTGCCATTGAAAGGTAGAGCATATACTTGGAGTAATATGTAGGATAGCCCATTATTAGAACAATTAGACTGGTTTCTTACATCACAAATTGGACTATTGAGTATCCAAATATGAAGTCTTGCCACTTGCTAAGATAACCTCGATCACTTGCCATGTCAAATCTCCATTGGGACAAAAATACCTAAAGCTAATATATTTTGTTTTGAGAATTATTAGGCGAGAACAACATGATTTTATTGAAACAGTGTAAGGCTGCTTTGGGCCAACTCGCATTCACGATGGGATGGATTATGCGAAACATATCATCAAAGTTTAAAAGCCTGAGAGCAAGGTTGAAACAGTGGAGTAAGAAAATTTCCAATCTACAACTTTTGATATCCAATTGTAATGCAGTCATCAGCACCTTAGATTCAGTGGAGGACCGAGAGAGGGCTGTACCATCCTGAAATGAACACGAGAATTGCAGGTCAAAGCTCGATTAAAAAACATGGCTCAAATGTAAGAACATATCTTTGGCGCAATAGATATACTGATCAACAAAATGAAGTTTGGGGATGAATGCACCAAGTTTTTTTTCATGGCATGGCAACTATATCTTACTGAGAAGAAATTCAATAAGCTTGCACTAAAAAATGATCAAGGAGCATGGATACAAGACCATGCAGCAAAGCAGGTCTTCTATGGGTCTCTTTCAGGCAAAGAATGGGTACCACAGCATCACCTACAATGACTTTTGACCTCCCACAAATGATTCAGCCAGTTGTGGACCTTGACAGCTTGGTTACACCTTTCATGATTGATGAAATTGACCAAATTGTCAAAAGTATGCCTCCAGACAAAGCTCTAGGGCCAGATGGATTCAATGGGTTATTTCTAAAAAAATGTTGGCAATTGATTAAACAGGATTTCTACATATTGTGTTGGTCTCTATCACAACAACATCAGCCTAGAGAGCATCAATACATCATACATCACCTTGGTACCTAAGAAAGATAGCCCAGAGATTGTGAATGATTTCAGACCTATTTCATTGATGAATATCTCTCTTAAGCTCATAACAAAGATATTAGCCAACAGACTCCAGTCAGTTATTCTGAGATTAGTTCACCAGAACCAGTATGGGTTCATCAGATCAAGAACCATACAGGATTGTCTGGCATGGAGTTATGAATATATTCACCAGTGCCACCAGTCAAAAAGAGAGATAATAATATTGAAGATAGATTTTGAGAAGGCATTTGATATAATTGAACACTCCACTATCATTCAGATGATGACTCACCTAGGATTGCTTGATAAATGGATTCAGTGGGTGCACAATATACTATCATCTGGCTCTTCAGCTGTGCTTCTAAATGGCATCCCTGGTAAATTCTATAAATGTAAGAGAGGGGTTCGACAGGGTGACCCTTTGTCACCATTGTTATTTGTGTTGGCTGCTAAACTTCTTCAGATCATTGTCAACCATTGAAAGGTCCTAATATGGCTAGAGGGGGGGTGAATAGCCTATTTAAAAATCTACAAATCAACTAGAGCAATTTGATTAGTATGACAAATAGCGTAATGCAAACTTGCTCTAGCTCTACAAGGGTTGCAAGCCACCTATCCAACAATTCTAGTTGCAATGAATACTTAGGCACACAAACTAGCTATGTAATTACTCACTAAGAGCTCTCAACCTTGCTACTCTAAAGAGCTCAACTAGATGAATGTAAATAATAAAGCAAGCTCTCAATTCTAATTACACTAAAGAGCTTGTATCAACTAGTTTGCAAGAATGTAAATGAGTGAGTAGAGTGATTATACCGAAGCGTGTAGGGGATGAACCAATCACAAGATGAATATATAGCCAATCACCGGAGAATGACAAAGAAGAGAGACAATCGATTTTCTCTCGAGGTTCACGTGCTTGCCAACACGCTTACGCCCCCGCTTGTGTCGGCCAACACTTGGTGGTTCGGTGGCTAAGAGGTGTTTCACAAACCTCGCCCACACGATTGGACACCGCAAGAACCGACCCACAAGTGAGGTAACTCAATGACACGAGCAATTTACTAGAGTTACCTTTCGGCGCCCGCCGGAAGGTACAACTCCCCTCACAATCACCGAAGGCGGCCACGAACAATCACCAACTCGTGCCGATCCTTCACCGCTGCTCCAACCGTCTAGGTGGTGGCAACCACCAAGAGAAACAAGCGAAATCATGAATAAGAACACGAATACCAAGTGCCACTAGATGCAATCACTCAAGCAATGCACTTGGATTCTCTCCCAATCTCACAATGATGATGGATCAATGATAGAGATGAGTGGGAGGGCTTTGGCTAAGCTCACAAGGTTGCTATGTCAATGAAAATGTGCAAGAGGGTTTCCTTGAGCCGGCCATGGAGCTATAAATAGAGCCCCATCAAATAGAGCCGTTGTACCCCTTCTTTGGGCAAAACACGCTCGACCCGGACGCTTCGGTCATACCGACCGACGACCGGCCCTCTCGTCCGGTCGCCCGATGGACGCCACGCGTCACCGACTTCAAACGCTGTTCGTCGATTTCAACGGCTACAAAGTCGACCGGACGCTCGGTCAAAAGCGACCGGACGCTGAAGCCCTGACGTCCGGTCATTTCGATAAGCTCCCCGAGGCATGTTTTTTCGACGGACGCGTCCGTCCACCTTGACCGGACGCAGAAGACCGTCGGTGCTCAACCCTACCCATCAGGTTGCTCGTCGATACTCGACCGGACGCAGACCTTTCGTCGTCCGATCATTGAGTGATTCAAATGTCCGGTCGATGAGACCGACGCTTGAGATCATTTCGACCAACTCTATTTCAACTCTAACTTCTCTACCCTTGCTCAAATGTGCCAACCACCAAGAATTTTGCATCCGGCGCAATAGAAAATAGACATTTCATTTTTCCAAAAGCGCCGAATCCCGCCTCGCAAGCTCGGCGGGAGGGAGAGAGGGACCCAAACCCATCTCAACCCTGCAAACACCTTGGGCACATGTGTTAGCATATTTTCACAAATATTTTCAAGGGTGTTAGCACTCCACTAGATCCTAAATGCATATGCAATGAGTTAGAGCATCTAGTGGCACTTTGATAACCACATTTCGATACGAGTTACACTCCTCTTAATAGTACGGTTATCTATCCTAAATGTGATCACACTCACTAAGTGTCTTGATCACTAAAACAAAATGGCTCCTACATTTTATACCTTTGCCTTGAGCCTTTTGTTTTTCTCTTTCTTCTTATCCAAGTTCAAGCATTTGATGATCACCATGCTATCACCATTGTCATGATCTTCGTCATTGCTTCATCACTTGGAGTAGTGCTACCTATCTCATAATTATCTTGATAAACTAGGTTAGCACTTAGGGTTTCATCAATTAACCAAAACCAAACTAGAGCTTTCAACCATGCCTACAACCTGAACTTGCTATGTAAGCCCTTACCATAACCAGAAGAAGATTTTCCTATAGCGCAATATGCTGATGACACTTTGCTGCTGCTACAAGTTGATGCTAGGCAACTATTTTTTCTCAAAGCCATACTCCATAGCTTTGTTGATTCGACAGGTTTAAAGGTGAACTATAGAAAGTCCCAAATGTACCCTATCAATGTCACTCCAGAGAAGATGGTCCTCCTTGCAAACACTTTTGGGTGTGATATTGGATCAATGCCCTTCACATATCTTGGTTTGCCCATGGGGACTACCAAGCCAAAAATTGAGGACCTAGCTCCTATGATGGATAGGGTGGAAAGAAGATTATCAGCCTGCTCTACTTGGTTGTCACATAGTGGGAGACTTGAAATGGTGAATTCAGCCATTACACCTATCACCACCTATGCAATGAGCACCATCAAACTACCACAAGGAGTGATTGAGAATATTGATAGGGCAAGGAAACAGTGTCTTTGGAGAGGGAATTCTGAAAAGAAGAAAGCTGGGAACTTAGTTGCATGGGAAACTGTAATGTTGTCAAAGGAAAAAGGAGGACTAGGCATCATAAATCTTAGGCTGCAGAATGATGCATTGCTTATGAAACATCTAAGCAAGTTCTATAACAGGGCTCATCTTCCATGGGTAAGAATGGTATGGACCAGGTACTATACAAATCGAGTTCCTCATGCAGCCAGGGAGGTTGGATCTTTTTGGTGGAAGGATATATTGAGGTTGAACCTGTTGTTCAGAGGCATTGCTAAATGCACAATTGGCAATGGTCAATCAGTTTGTTTCTGGGGAGATATTTGGATGAATGATCAGATCATTGCAACAAAATACCCAAGACTTGCATCCTTTGCAAAATCAGAGGAAATCTCAGTTTATGCGGTCATGCAAGCAGAGGACTTAGACTCACTCTTCATGCTACCTTTCTCCAATGAAGCCTATGCTGAATTTGTGAGTTTGCAAGAGGAATTGCAGATTATGGAATATGATGAGGAGGGCGTCGACAATTGGTCAC